AGGTTTTACATGGTGTTGACATTAATAAACACATTGGAAATATCAATTCTTATTAAAATAATGAAATATACTTTTTACATTTATTGAATAAGGATGGGTAGAAATTGAATTATAAGACTCAGGACTACCAGAGCTTGAATGAACCTGGTGCAGTTTAGGAGGTTTTATAAACTAATATAATGTTTTCGAAGCCAGTTTTTTCATACCATATGAATATTAAAGTTTTCTTTAGGCTTTTGTTTTAATTGAGGAAACTTTATTCTAAAAATGAGTCACCTATTCATAGTTATTTATTTATCATTACAACTATTAATATGAAAAATTGGCTGGGTGTGGTGGTGCATACCTTTAATCCCAGCATGCCTTTAATTCTCAGAGGCAAATGGATCTGTGAGACCATGTCTCCTAATACAAACAAATAAAAAAAATGGATAATTAACAAAAAAAATTTAATACAAACTGTATAAAAATATATGTATGCTTATATGTTTATAAGAACTATAAGGCAGAAAAAAGAGTTGATGAGCAAGAAATGGTTGTGTATAATTTTATTTTAAAATGTTTTTGTGCTTTTATAATACCTAGAAGCACCATGTTACTCCTTAAGTATCTGTCAGTTAGTGAACTATCTTCCCACTTTCACCCTCATGAAAAAACAAGTTAATGTGAATGTATTATATGTGTCTGCCTTAATACAGGAGTTACTTATGTTTTAAACAGGTTCTGTGTTATAATCTCATACCTCTCTCTGTATACACTTAGAAGTAGAGAATAACAATAGAATAAAAATATCTGCTCTTTGTTAAAATATATTAAATATCTGTGTGTGTCGTGTGTGTAGAATTAGATATAATATATGCAGTATATGATATACAGAGAATTACATAATATCACTACTTTAGTACCACTGTCAGTGAAGATTTGACCTTTATGATTTGAAAACTAGGAATGATGTTTTATGTACATAAATCAAATCCAAAGGAATGTGACACTCTTAGGAAATTACTGTTTTCTGCTGAAAAATACAGAAATATTTAGCTAAAGTGAGTGAACATTTTTTCCACTCAGAAAATTTTACAGAATTGAGAGGCCTAGGGCTTTTAAAATAAATAAATAAATCTCCAACAGTGAAGGCGAAGTACTTTCTTAAACTTGTGGGAATGTGATAGAGAATCAGAGAGCAAGGCTGTCTTGGACTGTGATCTCTAGCAGTAGGAAAGATTGGCTGTGACTTCAGCGAGATTAAATTAAATGTTTGCTTGTTTATTTGTTTTGGAAATTGCACAGAATGTGACGCTGTAAAAGCATCATTTAAAAAACAGCCTGCTTTATTAAATGCCATGTCAATCACAGCCAGGCCTGGGCTGGTGTAGGGTGAGCTAGACAGAGTTCACTCTAGCAGGTAGGTAAACACATAAGTGTGTGCATGGGCAGTAAGAAAAGACAGTGTGATTTGTAGAGTCTGCAGGGAGGCAGGAGTGGATGGAGAGGCATGGTCTGGGGAGGTTTTTAGAAGATGGAACCTGAACCATATTCTGAAAGCTGATCTGGAACTCCTTGGTCTGAAGGGCAAGAGGCAAGATGCCCTCCAGGCAAAGGTTAAAAAGCATATGCAGAGGCAAGAGAGTGAAACAGCTCGCTCCTATGCACTGTGAACTCTTGATAATTTGACATTACCAGAGAAGGAAGTTGCAAGAAATTAGAAAAGATAAAACAGAGAGGGACCAGGACATAAAGATTCCTGGTAGGACATGAATCTGAAAGAACTTCCTCCACAAAGTATTCTAATTGCCCTCTCATTTCATAATGCTGATCACTCCTGTCCCTCGGCTCACAGTAAAGCTATTACCCTGTAAAGCAGGTGGTCAAAGGAAGCCAGGATGGCAGCTTAGGAATGTTAGAATGACTTATTAAATGTAGATTTCTTAATTATTAGCAAATTATAATTTCATGGGAAAACTCATATAATCTAACTGAAATGAAAGCCCTGTGTATGTAGTACCATGGTTTTACTCCTACATCCAGACAAAACTCCTAAATCTAGACAGCCTGATAATGGTACATGCTAGGTTTTTTACTTTTACCAAGTATGAAGGCATCCTTTGCCCCCCTCATCTATAAAATGGGATCATTACAGTTCTTTAAAAAAATCATCTGATAAGTATTTAATAAATATTAGCTGTAATAATTATGGTCCATATAAACAAGTAAGTTTCCTTAAATACAACACAGTACAATATATCATACAATAAGTTCTTCAGTAGCTGTCCATAATAAAGAAAGGATGTTTGCTATTTTTCAAAGGTATTAGAGTTTCTCCTTATGTTTGGACACAGGACACATGTTCACATCCATCAGTGTTGTCAGAAGTGTCATAGTTATGTGATGTTTCCTGTTCTGCACAGCCGTTTTTATTACTTACAGTTCAACTACACAAGGAACAATGACCCTGCCATTAAGGAAATGAGGATACTGGGAACAGAGGATTCCATCTGCTTTTCCCCTAATCTGAAGGTTAACATTGTCAACTTGACAGCATCTAGACTCACCTAGGAGACAAGTCTCTGGCATGGCTGTGAGGGATTATCTAGATTAGGTTAACTGAAATGGGAAGACTCATCATAACTGTGAAAATACCCTTCCATAATGTGAGCTGGGGTCCTAGACTAAATAAAAACAGAAAAAGCAAGCAAAGCACCAGCATTCACCATTCTCCTTCCCTACTGAGGACACAGCCATCTGCCTCTAGCTCCTGGTGTCAGAACTGACCCACCATGATGGACTGGTCCGTCAAACTGTGAGCCGAAATAAACCTTTCCTCCACTGAGTTGCCTGCCCTCTTGTTGGGTATGTTCCTCATAGCAACAAGCCAAGCAGTTAATCACTCCACAAACCACACTTTGAAGTCATTTTTTGTTTCAAAAGAGGCCTGTTCTAAATAGAAAATTCTCTGGAGATTTTTGCAGAATGTTAGTATTTTCTGAAGAAGGTTTTTGGCCCAG